TAGCTTGTACTAATCTGAACAATGCCTGAAACTTTGTATTACGAGTCCTGTGTTTATTTATTTGCCTCTTTATGATGAATCACTTGTTGTTTTCCTCAATTGGAAGTCGCTTTGGATAAAAGTGTCTGCTAAATGAATAAATGTAAATGCAAAAAATAACTGCTGAAATATTTGCAGGGCAAACGTTTCTCAGGTCAGCTGCAGTGCTCATGGTACGCACACTGCATACAGCCGCAGGCGGTAGGGAATTTCTACTGTAGTGGAATATCCCTCAGGTCAACGAAACTCCAACGGACCTAGTTCTACCCAACTTGAACCGTTTTGATTTGCAGAGTGGAAAGAATAATCATGATCAACCTTGTAGACTCAGAAAACAAGGGCAAAGAGGAGTACATGTACAATTGAGAAAACGGTTTCTCTGACAGAGATGCCAGATGGAGGACTCGGTCTATATGTAAATCAAAGATATTGTAAAAATAGGTCCTTTTGAGAGAAAGAATGTGTTCCCAAAGTGCTTAACTGCTGTCAGCATCATTGTGCCCTTCATATCTGCCACATGACTTTTCACAAATATTTGTTACTGTTGTTTATATACATCCTTGAGTAAATGTGTATAAAGCCTCAGAGTATGCTACAAGTAACCCAAAAACATATATCTCACTTTAAGACCTAACGCATGGATCTAGCATTCTAACACACTAACACACATTACCCAGCTGTTTACGTTTAATTACGACATAACTGACTGTGTTTACGTGAATACTCTACATGATGGTAATATGGTAATTTATGTGTGTTTGACCATTCAAGCACAATGTTACAAAAGAGAACTGAATTTGGGATTGTACGCTGTCAGAGACGGCTTTATGTGTGCGCACTTCGGTTGTGTCAGCACAAACAGCACACTGAGATTTTTTTTTTTTCATGGCTTAATGTACTTTTTTACACTTATTTGCATTCTATGCTTTATTTTCTCATTTATGGATGATTTTTTTATCACTCTAAATAAGTAGTACTGTACTACATGAATATATTTACATATCGTGATAAAAACGATATTACAAAAATTCTATACAATAGACAATATATATCATCGGCATAATATATACCACCATACCATATGCCCAGCCCTAAATGCACATGAGCTAATGACTTAATAAACACCTGAAAGTAGGGATGCACCGAATGTTCAGCAACCGAAATTATTTTGCCAAAAATAGAAAAAAAAAGCTCTTTTGGTGTTCGGCCGGATAGGTTTGAAAAAAACAAAAACTAATTAATTGTACTGAACAATGATGTGACGTGATCAAATAGAGGCGCGCACTAATGCAGCAGACATGTCAGCAGTGAGGAAGCATTTAAAACTCTCAGAGAAAAACAAAAACCATTACAAGCATAAGCCCCAATCCCGTGGGTATATATATATATATATATATATATATATATATATATATATATATATATACACAGAGCCGTGAAAAGGTTTTTGCCCCCCTTCTTT